CGGCTTGGCACATAGTAAGCGCTTAATGAATGTCGTTTCATTTATTCATTCTCCTTGTTATACCTTGTTTTAGTCTGTCTTCTTGCAGAGAGGAAAAAAATACAGCAATTGAGTAGTTTAGCTTCTTTCTGTAGTCTATCAGCATTTTACCATCTATATGGTGATAATCATTTAAGATCAGTTGAGCCCCAATAAGGGCCCCAAACCTGAATTAATCTTTTCTCTGAGTGAACTAAAAATACCCCTTCCTGTGTCAGCAACTACAGGATGGAACTGACCAGCATTCTTCCTGTTTGTGATCACTAAGGGTACCTGGGACCAGACACTTTCTTGAATAGCAGGACTTTTCTTATCTTTGTATCCTATGGACATGCATTATGTAGGAGAAACACAGATATCCTGGGTCTATAATTTCTTTTTTAAAAATATATAAATTTATTTATTTTTAGTTTTCAACATTTACTTCCACAAGATTTTGAGTTCCAAATTTTCACCCCATCTCACCCCTCTCCCCACCCCAAGATGGTATGCATTCTGAATACCCCTTCCCCTAGTCTGCCCTCTCTTCTATCTCTTCCCACCTTCTCTTATCCCCTTCCCCTTCTATTTTCCTGTGGGGCAGAATAGATTTCTGTACATTTCCTGTATTTCTTATTTCCCAGTTGTATGTGAAAACAATTTTTAACATGCGTTTTTAAAACTCTGGGTTCCCAATTTTCTCCCTTCCTCCCTCCCCACCCACCCTCATTGAAAAGGCAAGCAACTCAACACAGGTTATACATGTGCAACTATGCAAAACACTTCCATAGTGAACATGTTGTGAAAAACTGCCCCCCCAATTTATTCTATTCTTTCTTTTAACCCTGTCCCTCCTCAGAAGTATTTGCTTCTGATCACCCCCTTTCCTAATCTGCCCTCCTCTCTATCATCCCCCTGCTCTCTTGTCCCCTTCTCCCCCTATCTTCCTGTAGGGTAAGACAGATTTCCATACCAAATTGAATGTGTATATTATTCTCTCCTTAAGCCAATTCCTATGAGAATAAGATTCACTCATTCCCTCTCATCTTCCCCCGTTTCCCCTCCACTGTAAGAGCCTTTTCTTTCCAGTTTTTTTGTGAGATAATTTATCCCATTCTACCTCTCCCTTTGTTCTTCTCTGAGTATAATCCTTTCTCATCCCTTAATTTTATTCTCCAGATATGACCCCTTAATCTTCAACTCACTCTGTGCCTCTATCTAATCTATCTACATACATATAATTTTCCCCCCTCCAACTACCCTAATACTGACAAAGGTCTCATGAGTTATAAATATCATCTTTCCATGCAGGAATGTAAACAGTTCAATCTTAATAAGTCTCTTATGATTTCTCTTTCCTGTTTACCTCTTCATGTTCCACTTGAGTCTTGTGTTTGAAAGTCAAATTTTCTATTCAGCTCTGGTCTTTTCATCAAGAATGCTTGAAAGTCCTCTATTTCACTGAATGACCATTTTTTCCCCTGAAGGATTATACTCAGTTTTGCTGGGTAGGTGATTCTTGGTTGTAATCCTATCTACTTTGCCCTCCGGAATATTAATTCATGCCCTGCGGTCCTTTAATGTAGAAGCTGCTAAATCTTGTGTTATCCTGATTGTGTTTCCACAGTACTTGAATTGTTTCCTTCTGGCAGCTTGTAATATTTTCTCCTTGACCTGGGAACTCTGGAATTTGGCTACAATATTCCTAGGAGTTTTCCTTTGGGGATCTCTTTCAGGAGGAGATCTGTGGATTCTTTCAATTTCTATTTTGCCCTCTGGTTCTAATATCAGGGCAGTTTTCCTTGATAATTTCTTGAAAGATGATGTCTAGGCTCTTTTTTGATCATGGCTTTCAGATAGTCCAATAATTTTTAAATTCTCTCTCCTGGATCTATTTTCCAGGTCAGTTGTTTTTCCAATGAGATATTTCACATTGTTTTCTAATTTTTCATTCTTTTGGATTTGTTTTATAGTGTCTTGATTTCTCATAAAGTCACTAGCTTCCAATTGCTCTATTCTAATTTTTAAGGAAGTATTTTCTTCAGTAATCTTCTGGACTTTTCTTTCCATTTGGCCAATTTTTCTTTTTGGGGCATTCTTCTCCTCATTGGCTTTTTGGACCTCTTTTGCCATTTGGGTTAGGCTATTTTTTAAGGTGTTATTTTCTTCAGTATTTTTTTGGGTCTCCTTTAGCAAGCTGTTGACTTGTTTTTCATGATTTTCTTGCATCACTCTCATTTCTCTTCCCAGTTTTTCCTCTACTTCTCTTACTTGCTTCTCAAAATCCCTTTTGAGCTCTTCCAAGGCCTGGGGCTGATTCAATTTTTCTTGGAGGCTTTGGATGTAGGAGCTTTGGCTTTGTTGTCTTCTTCTGGTTGTATGTTTTGATCTTCTTTTTCACCAAAGTAAGATAATATAGTCTGACTCTTTTTGCACTGCTTGCTCATGATCCAGGCCAATTACTTGAGTTTTAAACTCTTTGTTAAGGTAAGAGTCTGCTTCCAATGTGGAGAATGTACTGTCCCAAGCTTTAGGGGTTTGTATAGCTGTTTTCAGAGATAGTTGTTGGGACCCGTAAATTTTCAGTTCTTGCAAGGTGGTATGATAAGGGTCGAGGTGTTTACTCCTTTCCTGGCCTGTGCTCTAGTCTATTCGTGACCACAAGCACTTCTTTCTGTCCTGGAAATGTGAGGAGGGTTTGCTCTCTACAGCCACTACAAGCTCCACCACAGCAGCGCTTGTCTTCACCCTAGGACCGCCGCCCAGAACTGTGACCCAGATCCAAGCATTGGCAAAGAGATCCCTGCAGTCCCCCTGTGATCAGCCACTGGATTCCCGTCTGTAGGCCAGAAGCTCAGGACACAGTCATCACCTAGGGGCCCTCACTCAGTGCTCTGCACTCTGGAACTGGCTCTGAGACCTAGCTCCTCTCTCACCTCAGAAACAGACTTTTCCCACTGACCTTCTAAGTTGTCTTTGGCTTTCCTGGGCTGAGAGGTCTGGAAACCGCCACAGCTGCCCGCCATTCAGTCCTCTGAGGCCTGCTCTAGGTTACTGCGGTCTGCGTGCCCATGCCACACTGTACTCCTCTCCCAGCCCTGCGTGACAGTCCTTTCTCCTGGATCTATGATTTCAATTGACACTTTGACATTCTCCTATTTTATTGTATTTACAACCTATGCAACTGAGAAACTTCGTTTCTCCTGCTATATGTTAAAAACATATGAAGGCTATTTTCTTTTTGAGTAACACAGACTTCCTGAGTCAGGATTTAAATGCCCTCCTAAAATTGCTTAAATCAGTCAGAGTTAAAGATCTGACTCCATGTACATACGCTAACTTAAGGGAATAAAACAATATGAATTTACTTATCACCTAGCTTGTTGTCTCTTTAACCAACTTTCAGGTTGACAATGGGGTGTATGAGATGTTCAAAGAAGACTAGCACCTCTGGTATGAGGACTTGCTGAGCCCTTTTCAAGGAGGCTCATCCACCTTTGCTGTCTACCTGACACTCGGCTCTCACCTGTGGCTCCAAAAAGCTATTATAGCATGCACAGAGGCCACAGCCTGGTAAACTGCCTCAGCAGACAAACTAAACCATGTGGAGAGTAACCATCAGTGGGTTAGGGGGGATGTCTACCCCAAGCACGTGAAGACTTCCTTCAGCAGAATGGGTGGTTGACAACAATTTGTTCCAAAGGCCATGAATGTATTTGAAACAGGCACCGTGGAGTGCCTAGAGCTTGGGCAGATATGGAAGATGCCAAGGTCATCCACTGCATCTTAGGCCATCACCAGTTTTCTTGTGTCCTGCCACTGGACTTTGATGACTCTGGAAGAGGGAGTGAGGCTGATGACTGTGCAACTCTGCCTCCCTTAAATCCAATCCACACACCAGTCAAGACATCACCTTGTGACATCATTAGCCTTCTTTGAAATGAAGGATGAACAACCATAACTACCAAGGAAGCCTCTGATCTTCTACTGTCTACTATGGAAAATACGTTGACTAAGCACTTGGGTATTTCCATTTCAGGGTGTTGTGTCAACCCAGCCTTGGTGAGGAAGCTGGTTGGTGCAGGAGAGAGAGTGGGCTTGCTTAGAGTGAGCAAATCCTGATTTCCAATCCTGTCTCACAAATTTATGAGCCTTTTGACCCTGGCCTCTCTGAATCTGTTTCTTCTTGTGTAAATAATAGCAGCTACCTCACAGGATGCATGTGAGCTCAAATAAAATGAAATATCAGTGATTTGCAAACCCAAATGTAATGCTAATATTATAGTACCTGAAACAATCAATAGTTGATTGTATATCTATACCCAGTCTTTCGATATAAGTTGCCTATATTTTATAATCAAGTTACTTAAATTTGAATCCATTTAACAATCAGGGTCAGGATTGTTCAAGGATTGTAAAAGTGTATGGAATTCTTAGGAGGACCCCAAATCTGCAGCACCCTGTTGGCATTAAACATGCCTAAACAGACTAATTTCCTAAGAATTTTTCAAATTCAAACTCAAAACTATATTTATATATTATTACCACTTTTAATGTTGTAAAAGCTAAAATTAAAAACATGAACTTGGTCCCAGACCCACATCTCATGCACCATCCCTCAAAAAGACCTAGAGCCTTTCCTTACCTGGAATATCAAACTTCACCCTCTGGAAAGAACTGCTCCATTCCTATCTACTCACTCTCTCAGCTCAACTCAACTGTGCTTGACATCCTTCTTGGATCTAGTGACCTTCCATCTCCCTCACATCATCCCAGATTGACAACCAGAAGGAAACTTAAGGTCCAATGACCCAAGGAATTTTACATATGAGAACTGACTTCCAGGGAGGAAATCCTGTGACAAGTCAGAAGTCATTTATATTGCATTTTTTGATTTGCAAAATGCTTTTTACAGACCCATATCTTTTTCTTTGAGCCTCACAACCTGACATGTAGGTGCTATTCTTTTTTTAATTAAGAAAATTTATTTTCACCTTCCAAATTTACAAGTATTTCCCACTCAGTCCACATTGAGCAAAATATTTTGTTTAAACCCGCAAAAATCCCTCAGTATGCATCTGCATCGTCTGAGCAAAAAACAAACGTACATTAGCCACTTCTTATCCAAACGTTACAAATAAATGAAAACTGTGTCACTTTCTATGCTGTAAGTTAAAAGACAAACCCTCGCACTTTTCCGATCCTGACTTCAGTCCCAGGTACCATCAATCGGCCTAATTTCTAAGACGCTGGGGACTGGGATTCGTATCCCGGGTCGTGTGTCCTGGCAGGCGACACTCACACCTCCTCCAGGTCCCCCCTCCACCTACGTGGCTGCGAGACCTAGAGGGCAGGGCCAGGTTCATAGCGGGCCCCACAGACCGAGTACACAGCAAGTGCTTAATAGGTGCTCACTTGTGCCGTCGGCCAGAAACTCCGACGCTGATCAGCTGGTCAGCCCGTGCAAGTCATACAGTAGAATAAGCACACACGTGTTCCCCCCCCCAGTTGTTATGAGTATCAAAGGAGGTGAAAACCGGTAACGCTTTTTATAAATACCGACTATCATTAATTTTAATGCGATTGTGGGTGACTGTCACAGTCCTGGGGTCGGAGGCTGTGCCTTACTAGTAGCTAGAACCCTGCATACAGTTGGCGCTCAATTAGTGCTCGATAGCGGTCAGGTAGGCCTGCAGGAAAAAGTGCTGGGTGTGGGCAAGTTAATACCGCTAAGCCCCTGGCCAGGCTGGCCGCCCCCCAGTACCCGCCCCGCCCTGCGGCGAGGCGCGTGACGTGGGCGGCCAGTTTCCCTTGGGATTGCGGGGTCCGGGAAGCGACGTAAGGCTACCCTTCCCCCAACCTGGGGGTGGAGGGGAGGGGGTGAAGAGGCGCAGCGGGAACCCGCGCCGCAAAGACGTCGGGAGGATCCGAACACCCTACGCACCCACCGCGAGGCGGAGGCGGGGCCGGGTCGCGCTCTAAGTACCCGGCGCTTGTAACGTCACCACGCAACCCTGCGTTCCAGTCTTCACCTTCAGTCTCCTCCTTCGGTCGCTGAGACTAGCCCTTTAAGGGGGGGAGAAGTTGAAGGGTTAAGAACTTGATTGACATACCTTGAAGCCTATCAGGTTCTTTGCAGGCATACAACCAAATTTAAATTCTCTATGCAGACACTGGATAAAATGAAGGAAAAGTAAGGGGGGGGCGGGGGATAGTTTCTCGCGAGATATTCGCCTAACCCTCGCCTCGAAAAAGTGCCCGAACCCATGATCCCGCTTTCCAATTAGAAGCCAAGGGCAGGGGTTACGGACCAATGAAAAGGATGAAGAGGTGGGCTCGCTATTCTCCCCGCGCGAGATGAACCGTTACAGGACGTGCCTATTAGCCAATCAACCTCACTAGGATTAGGGTCAGGTGACTCGACAGTGCGGAGGGGCGGAACCACCGACTGGCGCGAGGAACCGTTAATACAGACAACGGCAACAACCAATGGGATCCTCTCGCTAGGACGTCAAGAATCCAATAAGAGAGGTCGGGCGGGATCCTTCACTCCGCGCAGGGAGCTGGGGAGACGGACAGAGGAAGCCCCCAATGACTTTGAGGAAGAGACGAGTTCACTGACCAATGAGGGCGGTGGGGCGGGGTCCATTGCCGCGGCAGTGTCCAAGATGGCGGCGTGGGATTCCGCTGTGTGAAACCAGCGCGGGCAGGCGAGCTACCCAGTTCCGAGGCGGCCCCGGACAGTCCTCAGCGATGAAGGGGAAAGAGCGCTCTCCCGCGAAGGCCAAGCGTTCCCGCGGCGGCGGGGAGGAGTCGAGCACCCGGGGGGAGCGGAGCAAGAAGCTCGGGGGCTCCGGCGGCAGCAACGGCAGCAGTAGCGGTAAGGTGGACAGCGGCGGCACCCGCCGGAGCCTGCACCTGGACAAGGGCAGCAGCCGGGGTGGCAGCCGCGAGTATGACGCGCCGGGAAGCAGTTCTAGTAGCCGCCTGCACAGCTACAGCTCTCCGAGCACCAAGAACTCGTCGGGCGGGGGCGAGTCGCGCAGCAGCTCCCGCGGGGGCGGGGAGGCCCGCTCGGCCGCCGCCGCCCCCAGCTCCACAGGCGGCGACGGCGGCGGGGGCGGCGAGTACAAAACACTCAAGATCAGCGAGCTGGGCTCCCAGCTGAGCGACGAGGCGGTGGAGGACGGGCTTTTCCACGAGTTCAAGCGCTTCGGCGACGTGAGCGTCAAGATCAGCCGCCTTCCGGGGGGCTCGGGCGACGAGCGCGTGGCCTTTGTGAACTTCCGCCGGCCCGAGGACGCCCGGGCGGCCAAGCATGCCCGGGGCCGCCTAGTGCTCTACGACCGGCCCCTCAAGATCGAGGCCGTGTACGTGAACCGGCGCCGTAGCCGCTCACCGCTGGACAAGGAGGCCTATGCGCCGGCGGCCGTGGTGGGTGCCGCAGTGGGCGGCCACCGGCACCCCCCGGGTGGCGGGCAGCGGGCGCTGTCCCCGGGGGGCGCGGCCCTGGGCTATCGAGACTACCGCCTGCAGCAGCTGGCCCTGGGTCGCCTGCCCCCGCCGCCCCCGCCGCCGCTGCCCCGGGAGCTGGAGCGTGAGCGAGACTACCCCCTTCTACGAGCGCGTGAGGCCAGCCTACAGCCTGGAGCCCCGAGTGGGTGCCGGTGCCGCCCCCTTCCGCGAAGTGGACGAGCTGTCCCCCGAGGACGGCCAGCGTGCCAACCGCACCCTCTTCCTGGGCAACCTGGACATCACAGTGACCGAGAGCGACCTGCGCAGGGCCTTCGACCGCTTTGGGGGTCATCACCGAGGTGGACATCAAGCGGCCCACGCGGGGCCAGACGAGCACCTACGGTTTTCTCAAGTTCGAGAACCTGGACATGTCCCACCGCGCCAAGCTGGCTATGTCCGGCAAAGTGATTATCCGAAACCCCATCAAGATCGGCTATGGCAAGGCCACGCCCACCACGCGCCTCTGGGTGGGCGGCCTGGGCCCCTGGGTGCCGCTGGCCGCCCTGGCCCGCGAGTTCGACCGTTTCGGCACCATCCGCACCATCGATTACCGCAAGGGTGACAGCTGGGCCTACATCCAGTACGAGAGCCTGGACGCGGCCCACGCGGCCTGGACTCACATGCGGGGCTTCCCGCTGGGGGGCCCCGACCGCAGGCTGCGGGTAGACTTTGCAGACACGGAGCACCGCTACCAGCAGCAGTACCTGCAGCCGCTACCGCTGACCCACTACGAGCTAGTGGCCGATGCCTTTGGGCACCGAGCTCCTGACCCTCTGCGGGGGGCCCGGGACCGCACACCGCCCCTGCTGTACAGGGACAGGGACAGGGACCTTTACCCAGACACGGACTGGGTGCCGCCTCCCCCTCCAGTTCGGGAGCGCAGTACCAGAGCCGCTGCAGCCGCAGTGCCAGCCTACGAGCCTCTCGACAGTCTGGAGCGCCGGCGGGATGGCTGGTCCTTGGAGAGGGACCGTGGGGAGAGAGACCTGCCCAGCAGCCGTGACCCGCCCCGCAAGAGGAGGCTGCCTGAGGACAGCGGGAGCCGGCATATGGACAGATCTCCAGAGAGCGAGCGCTCCCGCAAAAGGCACTGTCCCCCAACGCCAGAACGCAGTCCGGATCTGGGGAGCAGCAGCCGAGATCGCTACAACAGCGACCCTGACCGCTCCTCGCGCCTGCTCCTGCTCGAAAGGCCTTCCCCTGTGCGGGCAGACCGGAGAGGCAGCTTGGAGAGGGGTCAGGGCGACAAGAGAGACCGCAAAAATTCGGCATCAGTGGAGCGGGAAAGGAAGCACCGTGCCCCTGCGCCCTCCGAGGGCAAAAGCCCCCTGAAGAAGGAGGAGCGAGCAGAGGCCTCCGCTCCCAGCACCAGTAGCGGGTCCAAGCTGAAATCACCACCGCAAAAGGCTGAAGCTGCTGCGTCCTCCGCCCCAGCCGCTGCCCCCAAGCTGTGCCTGGCTTGGCAGGGCATGCTTCTGCTCAAAAATAGCAACTTCCCTTCCAACATGCATCTGCTACAGGGCGATCTCCATGTGGCCAGCAGCCTTCTGGTGGAGGGCTCAACTGGGGGCAAGGTGGCCCAGCTGAAGATCACCCAGCGCCTGCGTCTGGACCAGCCCAAATTGGACGAAGTGACCCGGCGCATCAAGGTGGCAGGGCCCAACGGCTATGCCATTCTGCTTGCTGTGCCTGGCAACTCGGACAGCCGCTCCTCAGCTGTGTCTGAGGCCACGACCTCGACTCAGAGGCCGCTTAGGAACCTGGTGTCCTACCTTAAGCAAAAGCAGGCTGCGGGAGTCATCAGCCTCCCTGTGGGGGGCAACAAAGACAAGGAGAACACCGGGGTCCTCCACGCCTTCCCACCCTGTGAGTTCTCCCAGCAGTTTCTGGATTCTCCTGCCAAGGCACTGGCCAAATCTGAAGAAGATTACCTGGTCATGGTCATTGTCCGTGGTGCGTCCTAAAAAGTCCATGTGTAGCTTGCATTTACTACTTGACATGGTTCCTAATGTGTGATGTGTTATGGGATACAGCATCAGACACAACTTTATTATTTTTTTAATTAGATGTTTATTTGTAGCTATTTCCTTTACATTTCTGTAAACCACTTTAAAGTAGAAGTCAGGAAAGTTTAGCTGTTGGCATACATAAGTGAAGGGGATCACCCTGAAAGTAGCAGGCAGATTAAGCTGCTTCAACTAGAACTTCCCATCCTTTTTATTTGTAACTTTTGTCCTTTATCCTCATTTTTGTAAACTTCAGTTTAAAAAAAATCCTCTAAGTTAACATACCCAAATATTTGAAAAGTCAGAATTTGGAAAACAAAAAACCCCAAGACTGGCAGAAGAAACCATATACACCTGAGAATGACTTGGCCTGTGTTGTACTTATTAATCTGATTAGAAGTCTAAATGTTAGGTTTGGTGTATATGTAAATAATTCCTATGTCAGACTTATTTTGTTTTATTTTGACTAAAAGTTGATCAGGGAGTGCAAATGACAGGTGGTACACTGTACAGCAGTTTAATTCTTTTAATCAGGTGTTTGAGTATTTCACTTAATATACAAAATTAATTCCCAGAAAGTATGCTTTAACACGTGCATTCTAGCATCTATTCATGAGTTCTACTGTATCCCATATATGCACTTTTGGTTTGTAGCTGTGACTGTTCAGTAAATATTGAGGACTATGTTACAAACCATATATGTCTTGTGCTTACTCTAGTATGCAAGAAACAAGTAGGTGCTTTAAGAAGAAAAAAATAGTCAGTATAGGTGTTTGTTTTTACTGACGTTTCAAAGAAGTGTAAGAAGTACAATTCATACTTAGTAGTGCATACTCCAAAATTAAATGTTTGTCATCAAAGGTGGGTTTTAATTTTTGTGACCATTTAAAGTTCTGGTTTCAGTAATAGAAAGAAACAGTTGTCTACAGGCTTTCAAGGTGTATCTTAGGTCATTGGGCATCAATCAGCCATATCTGAGTTGCAGAATTTTTGGTTGGTGATCTAAAAAATGCCCCAAAAGGACCCTCTTGGGATTTTTTTGGGGGGATCCCCAAATGATAATGAGGGGGCCTATTACATCCTTGTAAATGTTAAATGTTGGTGATATCCACGTACACTGGGCTTACCTGGTATCTGACAAAGTTTAAAAAATTGAATAGATTCCAGGGCTGTAAGGCCCATTTTTGTTTTGCTTCCCAGACAGCTCATTGTACATAGCTGGTCCCGAAGTGTAAATTTAACACAACTCTTAAAAAAAAAGTTTGCTCAATTGGATTTTGAATTTTCTCTCCCAGTCCACTCTTGTGAGTTCTTTTAACTGAACATCATTTTTATTTCTGTTTTTTAAGCAGGCACTTTGCTGCTTGGGCATCTCGCAGCTTGTCAGTGTGTTATTTATTTATTTTTGATATGTCATTTTATCCTTGGCTGTATTTTGCATTTTTCCCCCTGACTGAAATGGTGATGACCTCCACTAATGCCTGTAGTACATATTAAGTTATGAATAGAAACCTTAGGAAGATCTGGATTATGGTTACTGTTATCTGTGAAAGTATTTTACTCGTTCAAAGCCTAGTAGAACTTGGCTGTTCTTTCTATTATCAGTGAGGATGCTGATACTTTGAAATAGCACCAATAATAACCCAAGGGAAACTTCATATGTTAAATTCATCATTTACTTTTTAAAAGATGTATTCATTGTTTTCCGTTACGGCAGGTGTCTAACGCATGTTAGCCTGACCTTCATCACTGCTGTAGTATATCATCCTTTTGTTTTTCTTTATACATTTGTGAGGGTTTGTTTTGTTTTTGAAACTGTGGAAAAAACTTCACACTTTTGATGACTGTTATGGAGAGAAAGAATATTGCTGGACTTTGGATTTGAGGTCCTTGGTACACCTTTGGGGAGAAAAAAATGTATTTTCCTTAAGCCTTTTGTGTTTAATACCTTTGAAAAGCAGTGATTGGGACTCAAATATGCAATAGACACCTGTTTTAAAAACTGATGCATGTATGGAGTCAAAGTACAGTTTATGCTTAGAAACCCTTTATCAATTAGAAATTATCTCACTCAATTTTTGGAGCCCCTTTTGATAAAATAAACTGGGAGAGCAGGGTTTTGCTCTTTGGAAGAGTAAGCTCATGGCATCTAGTTTCTGCTATGATCCAAGGTGTTTTTTCAATCAGGTATATTTGAAGGGTAACAGGAATGGGCAGTACTGTGCTTTTACTTCCTGCTTGAATGTTTATTTCAAGTTACGGTTTTTGTTAGATCTGGTAATTTGTGCTTCCTGCTCTCTTTGTGAAATACGTTTAATATCATTCTTGAGTGTGTAAGGTAAAGTAATTGATTATGTTTAGTACGGCAGTTATCTGAGTGCCATCAATTCACAATGCTGCCGTCTTATCTGTGTTGTCTATTCTGTTGTACAGGTGTGTAACATCAGAATTGGGAAATTCTGGAAGTCTAGAGCCATCTCTGTGATGCTAAACACTATTAGCCAGAATTTTGTAATCCCATCATTGGATTTTCTATAACCAAATTTTCTTGATACTGGCTGTGTGCATGCAGTTGATGTTTCTAGATTTTATTAGTTCAAGTGAATTGAAAGAACATTATTTCCATAAAGCATTTAATGGCTTGGTGTGCAAGAAAAGGAAGACATCTAGATGATTAAACCTTTTGTGTCAAAATGCTAAACTTTTAAAGGAATAATTGGTTCCCTAATTGTCTCAACTGCTGGTCGATAACTTTACCTAACCTCTTGTTGACTGAAACTGGAAGTTTCTCTGAGGGTTATTATAAAAATTCAGTTCCTCTTTTAAGGTAATTTACTTTGAAGCCCTTTGTTTCTTACCTGGTATAGCTGAAAGAATTACCTTTGCTTTCTAAGTACAGGAACCATTCATCAGAAACTTCCAGTAGTAACAGAATGAGGAAACCACCTTAGGAGAGGTCTGGACAACCTTTTGTGAAAAGGACATTTTTGGTGTGTGTAATGAGCAAAATTTCTGGGTCTATTCTTTCTCATTTCCATGACTGGTTTTGAGATAACATTTACAAAGGAGTCCACTGTGAAAATGAGAAGCAGCTATTAGATTTATAGACTTGACTCCTATCCTCTTGATTATAGTAACATCCTTAAAAGGAATATTATCACAGTTAACTGTAGTGAACTGTTAAACCTGATGGAGAGTTTGTATATAAGATTTGAGTAGTGTTGAAACCAAGGATCTTAAAGGGTTTGCTGGTTATTTAGCAGTTCTTTATATGGAAATGGTTCATCTTGTCTTTTTAAGTGGTAACATAGCCCATTAGATTTTTAAATGGCTGTGTACATTGACCCTTTTTCTATGATAGTGGAGTGACCTATTGCTGGAAAGCTTATTGTAAGCAAAAACACCACAGAGGTGAAAGTTTGACTGCAATTCATGCTTTCATTTTTTTCACTTTTAAGTTGCCTTCAGGAAGAATCTCATTTAAAAAAAAAACAACAAATAATTATAAGCTTTCACTAGACTTTTCTCTGTGGAAATATTTTGTGTTTTCCCCTTTCCCTCACACACTCAATTGAGTGTAAAGGATATTTTCAGTTCTATAACCTTAAGCTTAGCTTATTAAAAAAAAAAACAAGCCCAAAACCCAACCTGTTCTACACTTGTTCTGTGTTTTCATGGAATGAATTCATTTCAAGGTTTGTGCCAGTGGGTATTATTGGTGCTTTTTGAAATCAAAGTGGACTATCCAGAAAGGCCTTGTAGCTTATGTTCATCTATGTATTGTAGGGAAAAAATATGTTGTAAACATTTGTACTTAATAACCTTTTTTTCCCCCTCTGCAAGCAAAGCTGGTGGACAGCGGATGAAGATTTGGAATTCTAAGCTCTAATGGACCTTTTGGAAGAGAAGTTGTGGCTTATGTGGAATTTACATAACGCCTCTTGATTGGAAGGAAGCTTATCTGTTTAGTATTTGTGCATTTTACTAAAATGGCAGCTTTAAAAAGTTGTGTATCTGCTATTGTGATGCCAATGCCCGTGTTTTAAGTGGAAAAAAATGACCTCTTTGCTTTGTGCTGTGTACACAAGAGTTCTGGAAAAGTAAAGGAAAACCCTTTCTATGGCTCACACAGCTTAAAAGTAGCTGTCACTCAAACATGCTCTCACAGTTGAGCTGATTTTGTTTCATTCTAAATAAATTGTTTCTTTTGAGGAAAATGTTTTTCTGCTTGGAAGTGAATTGACGACAAACCTTTGACCCCTTTGTTTGCAGCGGAGGGGGTACTTGCTGCTGCTCAGATCTTGTGTGTCCTGAGCAAGAAGCAGTTAAACCATCATTTCATGTTGACAAGCCTGGTGTGTCAAATCTGAAGGATCTCTAGTGAATGTGTTACTGGGGGTCATTTGCTGCTCAATCCTCATCCTTTGGAGGGAATGGTGCTGTTTGCTGGGATGCAAGAAGCAGGGAGAGCACCTTAAGCCTCAGAACATTGCAGAAGTCTGAGGCTTTGCTGGTTGGAAGAGCTGGAGTTGCTGAATTTTAAGTTTTGATTTATTTTGTTCACCCAACACGTTTGGCCTTAGTTTCATTTTTAATTTGAAGAAAAAGTTTGAAATTGCTTTGTCTTGCACTTAAAACGCTCGCACCAAATTGCCAAAAGAAAGAGAAATGCTCCGTTTGCGTTTAAATGTTAATGATGTTAATAAAGCCTTTGCTGACACATTTGAGGAGCTCCTCCATCTCCAGGGGCTTCTCACCAGTTATGCAGTCATGGGTTTAGTTCTGAATGGATGAAGAGTTCCTGAGAGCTAGCGTTTGTAATTAAAACCATTCATTGGTCTCAGTGCCTTATTTGACCTCTGGTTCCACAAGCCTTGGATGTGCATGCATCGTGATGGTTTCGTAGGTACGAACGCACACTCAGTCCCTGTTACTCCGGTTTGTAGT